CACACACACACACACAATCCCAAATGCATACAAACTAGGGGGAGTGCTAATAAGCCTGACACATGAGGCATCTTTCCTCGGCCACCAGCTGACTGAGGCAGGCCTTGGGCGTGATGGAGCGCAGGAAGTCTCTCATTGCCCTGCCGCTGAACCCGCCGCCTGGGTGTTACAATCTCCCTCCCTCCCTCCTTCCTTCCCCATCTCCAACCCCCTCCTTCCTTTTCCTCTCTTTCCATCTCTCCTGAAGCAGCCTTTTCCGCTTGCATCCTCTCTTGTTTTTTTTTTTTATCTGTGTTTCTTTCTCTCCTCTACATGGGCTCATCAGATACACTGCAGCTCTCTGCAGTTCTTCCATCACTGGTCACTCTAACAAAGAAACATGGACACCAACACAGACAGAAGCAGATGATCTGTAACCCGCTATCAGGTTAGCGAGCTCTCCTCACTGCTCACATAAGGCACACCTCAATAAACGACCTGATAATACCTCAAACTGGGAGGAAAAAGTGCTTATTTTGGGGAGGTTATTAGGATTCTGTGCCAAAAGAAATCTTGTCGAAATCCATCCAGAAATATGGACGATAATTCTGCACAACCAGAGATCGAAATGGCTACTTAGTGTCCATTTTTTCCAAGTGGGCTTTTAATTAAATCAGTGAATTGGCTTCAAATTGGAAACATGACAGAGCATGAGAACGTTTGAAAATATCTCAGGGACGATGAGATTTAATAAAAAGAAAACCTACTCGCTCCTTTCTAATGCACGCCTGGGATTACAGATAGCTCCTTAACTTAATAGCAATTTAAAGTGGATTTGTGTATGCCACTGAGTGTCTGTAATGATGGCTGTTTACGCCGCCCCTCATTTATAATAATTAAGCAGAATGGATTGGGGGTGGGTTGCTCGGACGCGGTTCTGGGCTATTGGCTTGGGCTGAATAATGACCTACTGTAGTTGACCGGGGGATGACCGCTGCCTCCTGCATGACCCCAAACCCCAGACTCACCCCCTGCTACTTTGGGTGGTAAATAGGATGTCTTGCCTGTCTATAGCGTCTTGGTGTCTATGGCCACAATAGCAGCTAGGGGTCTTTAAATGGGTGTGTGACAGAGAAAAGGAGAAAGGAGAGGGGGGGACAGGGTTCACACAAAAGAATAAAGGGATCCACTCTCTTTGTCTCTCTTGCTTGACTTTTCCCATCTGATTGTTTGCCCACTTTTCCTTTTCTTCAGCCGCATTCAGTCGGTGTGACCTATGGGCGGCAGGCCAAACCGACTTGTTAAACATAGAAGAATCCTGTTATGACTCTAAAATAAGACAGGTAGCCTTGGACAGAAAACGAGTGGCCATTAAAACACAGAAGTTCTTACTTCAATTTCTAACGTCACAACTTGTATTTACACGCAGCGAGTAAACCTGTAAGGTTGTAAATCAGCTTCTGGTGTTTGAATAAGTTGTCATTTAATAAACAAGACTCTGCTGGATGCCGCCACAAGGTGTCAGTGGTGTCCATGTTCTCATTGTCTCTAACAAAACAGCTGCGGCTGAACACTTTGGCCAAATGTGATGTGACGCTACGGTTTGGGAGACGCGCCGGATTGGCTGGCCCGTCTCCCTCTCTCTGGCTTTTGGTTGGACAGCGGATGGAGGAGGAGAGGTGAGCAGGGCGAGGGGAGAGGAAGAGGAAGAGGAAGAGATGGCAGCAGCGCTTGCCAGAGTTTTAAGGACCCTGGATGGGTTTGTGCCATAAATCTCTTCCCACTCCATCCCGCCGTTCTCCATGAGTGCCTGTGGGAATACAGGAATGTGACAGCTGACCTGTAGAGCCCATGTCTTTTGAATCTGGATACATAAATTAGAGGGCAAGAATGCAGGACAACCTTATGGTTGAGTGTGGGGACACGGCCGACAAAGTACACAAGCATTACACATGTCAGGGAGAAGCGAAACAATCGCTTATAGTGGCTAAAAGATGATAGATTAATCCAACACTTCAACAACACGTTGTAAATGATAAGTCTCTCCGTCCGTTTGAGGCTGTGATGCAGTGGAAATGTGTGGGAAACGTCTCCACAATTTAAATCGAGTTAGAAAATCTGAGAGTGTGATATTGCAGAAAACAGAGCTCGCCATTATTTGTCATCACACACTAAAATGTCAGTGTAAAGCCATAATGCGCATTAGAAAAATGCAAGCTCTCAGAAATGAAATGCCAGAGCAAAAACTCACAAGACAGATTTCACGGTGCGTTTCTACCTCATGTATCAGCGCGCTGAGCATCGCCATGGAGCTCTGCGGAAAGCAAGTTAGGCATCGCTGAAACCGGCGGCAGAGGCACACTACGAGATTAATTCTCTTGAACTAATGGGTTTCATATGAGTTGTGAGGTTCCTAATTTATTTACTTTGTCAGTGATACACAGATACACGCACACACAAGGGGGGGAGAGAAGAAAAAAAACACAAATACAGTAAAAATGCCCCCACTTTACAGTAAGTGAGAGATCAATAATGATGGATGAGGGCCTTTTATACAATCGGCATGTTCTCCTCAGTTCACAGCCATATGACACCACGCCTGTGGCTATCCCATTCTGCACTTCAGCAGTCAATCACATCCCAGCTTTAAAAATAACAGTTTGTTAGCACCATTGATTTAGCACTTAGAGCGTGTCCTTATTACCTTGTAATTATGGTCAGTGTTGACATAACAGCACAGACAACCAGGCCTCCCACCCTCTAAGAGAATTTATGGGCCCTGGTTTTATTACGGCCATTTCATGTGTCTGGGTCCCCAGTTAAGCGACAGACTTGAGTTCTAGCCAAGGGCCCGTATTTCACTCATCGAGGTCAGGGTTCTCAGGAATCCCCCCGTAAAAACTGAACGCCGACGGGGGCCCGCGTGCACACACAGAAGACGCGGGGAAGCCCTCCCCACGGGCTCATTAAAATAAATAGCCGATTACAGGCTATAATCCAAATAATGCTATTCATGAGGGAAATGTGATGCTTTCGGGACGCAAAACGGGACACGGGTGGAGTCGTGTCTTCACACAAAACATTCGGAAGCCGTCCGGAGATCAGCTCTAAATAATTTACAACCGGCCCCTCGCTTTAAATCCATTAGAGGATAGTTTTAATACTCGCTCGTATAGTCTGTCACCATGTTATGACTTTAAGCGCACAGCTCGACAAAACAAGAGTAATCTGTGTCATTAAGATTGTGAGATACTACAACCAAATCTTTGCTTCCAACCTGGACTTAGTTTGCTTTTAAGGTCCCCGGTGAAGCAGTAATCTGATCCATACAGTGAAAAGTAATACGCAGGGCAGGGCTGAGGCAGTTTGAGGCGGATCTGTAGCTCAGAGCCAGGTCTCCATTGTTTCCACCAAGTACGCTGCCTTTGTCATCTGTGTGTGAAAAATGGACATGGCTGTTTTGACATTTTCCCCCTATCAACCAGCACGCACAGACAGAGAAGGCTGGCATCTCATTAATCTGACACTGCCAAGAAAACCTCAATTAAAAGTCCATCTTCTGTGAAGGGCATATTTCACCTGTGTCACGTCTGCTCTTATAAACAAAAAGGCTCTATGTTTGTTTGTTTGTCGATGTAAAAAAGTAAAACCTCGACTTCTTTAATTCACAATAAAAGTAAGAACGTTATTGTTTCTGTGCTAAAACGACTCAAAACATTACTAATAATTAACATTCAAAAGGCTCCAGCTGCTGATTAAAGATGCATAAAATCATGAGGTTGAATGTGTAATTTCTCAATCCCAAACCACATAATTACCAACAAAAAAAATAAAAGCTGAACACACTGTAACGTCTCCCTCCCTCGGCTCTTCAGATAATTTAGCCTAAACACAGAACATGATGATTCGATTTCAAACCGACCAATAGCAACAGTCTGGGAACAAGTCCCTGAACGCAGCAGAGTAAAAGTGCCCAAATTACAAGCCATTGATTTCCAGTAGGGTGGCTTTTCACTGGTAGATACTCTGCATGTAACTTACAAGATGGCCATAAAACACGAGGAGAGAGATTGAGAGAAAAGAGCTGAGATGCAGGATGGCTTCACCTGCAGTTTATGTCAAACGGAAAAGGAAGAGCTTCGCATGGCTGCCTACTCAATTAACCCCTGTGATAGAGGCTCCGTAATGAACAACAGCACCATTACGCAGCGCCCCGAATGGCACTTCACCCTAGTGGCCTGGGAAAAAACAGACAATGCCACTGTTGGTGCTTCGCTGCTGCATCAGGATACAAGTGCTCACTAATAGAGGAATTTAGATGTTGGGGATATCAGCATGTTCAGAAAGTAAATGAGGACAAAGCGATTACTGGAGTTGATGTTTAAGCCTTAAATAATTACACATTCTACACGTCTGCGTCACATTTTTACTCATTTTAAACTACTGTAATTACTCCTGTAATTACGTCAACGAGTCAAGGGTGCAATCAGGAATGGTTCCCATTAGAGATGAATGGCAGAACAGTAATCTCTTATCTCCTACTGACTGAAAAAAAAAACAACACAGATTTCTGAGAGAGGCTTAAATAAGCTCTCGGATTATTTTTGCTCACCTTGCTAATGATGTAGATGAGATCTCCTCTCAGGAAGTCAAGCTCGTCTGGCTCGTCGGCCTGGCAGTCCCATAAACCCTGGTAGTAGTTAGCATAATCTGATGACCAAGCTGAGAGGAGATGCAGAGCACAGATTTAAATAAAAGAGAACAAGTTCTCTAATAGTTTGAACTATTAAGCTGCAAATTTGTTGTCGTTATAAGCAGAAGACCATAATGAGGTTCTGACCTGATTTGTTGTTCTTCTCACTGTTCGGATCCATCGGATCTGGGAAATCCTCTTCTAAACAAACAAAATACGACAAAATTATATTTGTGACAGAACATTTATAACGTTTATGAGCATTTTCTAACTAGATATCAGCACCTAAACATCTAATTTAATTATTTAACAGGACAAAACAGCAAAATAATGATAGGAAAGAAGTTCAGAGACTGAACAGCTATTTTTTATTTAAAGATTTTGTTTTGGCAGCATGAAGCTAAAAAATGACAGAACAAAACAAACAATCAGCCAATCCCTGATGTATTTCCACATGATAACAGATGTGTATTTTACTTTAACTGGACAGAACTCCTCAATTTATCTGAGACCCGGGCAGGAAAAGTGAAAGAAAAAAGAGGCCGTCTTTAAGGCACGCGGAGGCGGACGTGTCATTGACTGTTGGGCGTGGCACCCGGTGGTCTGAGAGGTGACACAGTGATATGCCTGCCCTCTGTCTCCCACATCCATCCTTAACAGCAGCAGGCTGACAGCAACGCCACAACCCAGCAACACTATCCACCTTCCAGCACAACCTGCGCCTCTGCTTCCAGGAACACCAGGAAGGACGACACACACACACACACACACACAGAAAACACACACACACATACACATACTGTGTATCCACATGCATATTTGTGATGTGTACAGTTTGGATGCATGTGTCTTATGTGTATCTTCTTCCCCTGCTTTTTCTGTCCCAAAAACACACAAACAAAACAAAACTACCTTTTAAAATGCAAAGATTATTTATATATATTCATTATTTGTGAATTAATTATGGCGTTGTTACCACACCAGAGTCCAAACATTTGTTCAGCACTCTTCAACTGCTGTACAGAAGAGCATCCTTCAGTTGAGAGGCCACCGCTATGGGCCAACGGTTTCTATATCAAAGTGATTTAATTTTCCAGTCAATAAAATCAGTCATCAGCACCAGAGCCAATACCACCATCGCTCTGCAATCTGCCTGCAACCGAGACACGTTCAGAGTTTTGCTTCGACAAAACCGAAAGAGCTCATCACAGAGAAAATGATGCTTCACTCGCACTCGACATTTCTCCGCTAGTTCGGATGCTACACATGCAAGACGGTATCTGACTATTTTCCAGATATTTAAGGTTAACAACTTTCTAAAAAATGATCACAACTTGAGCGACAACTCTTGCGAGGTAATCATAAACACTCATGTGAGCAACGAATGAAGTAATGTCCAAGAAAATAAAGTCACTGCAAAGACTACTATCCAAAAATATTTCTATTTGTTGAGAAAAAACGACACACGCAGCTTTTCTTGTCTTTTTTCGGATCCCGATCAATAAAAACAACCGTAAAAATCAAATAATTTAACAGTATCTAATCACTGTGTAGAAGCTGTAAGTGAGCAAAGAGAGGTGCAGAGTGATTGATAAGTGAAGGGGTGAGAAAGTGAACGAAAGAGCCCGTCATTCGATATGCCATCTGTGGTCAGGGTCTGTACCTCTTCCCAGATGGCTTTGAACGCCGACGTGACAGACTGAAGACTGATTTCCCTCTCACCAGTGATTTTGGCAAAGGTAATGTACTCACTGAGTGAAACAGAATCTTGATGTATCTTATTTAATAGAAAGAGTGATGGACGACGGCCCTGAGAAGATCAGATCACCCCTTTTGTCCTTCCCGGGATCTTGTAGCCACCCTGACACATGGGACTGTCTCTCTCTCAGTAGGGACTCACACGCTCTGGTCTCGTAACATTCTCAATCAAACTCTAATTTCTATTAAACATGTGACATTAAGAGCTCCAGAACTATTTTAAGACCAGAGAGATGCAGTTTTTACTTCCCTTTCAGCTAAATTGCTGTTGCTAGGCAATTTTAGCCAAAAAACTCTGCTTAGTGGATTGAATTGTAGGCGATTTGTTGCCTGGCAACATTAGCTAATTGGACGTTCTATGACAGAGCATTCGGAAACCACACAGCTCTCGCTGATTTCAACAACATGACTGTTTTTCAACAGATAGCTCAGTGAGATAAGGAGGGAGAGCAGAAGTAAAAGCTGATTTCTAGTCTGGTGTAAGTCGAGTCTTCCCTTCCGGCCCTGTGTGCCTCTCTGCAGCAGCCGCCTCAGTCCTGACAAGCTTATTAGTGTTGCTTGATTTAAAATGAGTGATCAGTCTGGGTGTTGTGGTGATAGGGAGGCACCTGGCAACACAAATTTCACAGCCAGGGGAGATCATCACAAATATTTCTTGTTGCGAAAAATCCCTTAGGGCTTGAGTGTGTGTGTGTGTGTGTGTGTGTGTGTGTGTGTGAGAGAGGCTCTATTTGTCTGACCGAGTATCATGAGAGTTTGTGTGTGCAGCCTTCCTGTCTATTTATCTGTGTGTGTTATGGTGGGTGGCGCGTCTCTGCATGCGCGGTAACCACATCCTCATACCCGGCAGGACCTCGTAGATATCCTCGTCCTCGTCGTCGACCTCCCCAATCTCACGCCCTCCTCCCTTTCCGACGCCGTGAGAGGCCTGAGCAACGCCGGGCCGAAGCTGGGGAGGGCCGGTCACCCCCTCAATGTCATCATAGGTCTCCTCTTCGTCCTCCTCGTCGTCATCGACAGGGATGTCGGTGGAGCTGAGATCTACGAGGGAAGGAGAGACAACGTGATGGGCGGCGTTAGCATCAAGATGGAGCACAGCGTGCCACAAAAGACACACACATGCATTAAAAGGGTAAAGTAAGAGAAATGCTCCTGAATGCACAACAGTCTCGGACACGTGCCACATAGGAGCAGAGACAAGCACTCGAGGCTTGAATTGTGGCTGCAAATAACAATCCTTCTCATCATCTATTAATGTGTTTGTAATTTTTTTGATTAAGCAAATTCATTGCTGAGTCTGAAATAATGACAAATGGACAATAGTATTTCCCAGAGTCTTCAAACTGCTGGTTTTGTCTGTCTAACAGTCCAAACATTAAAAAAGTATAATGATATAAAACACAGAAAAGCAGTAAATCGTCACATCTTGAGAAGTCAGAACCAGCAAATGATAAATTACTTAAATGATCTCGTATCAATTGTCGTCGATCCACTGATCGATTAACCGACTTCCTCTTTCAGCATTAGTTTCAGCTCTGACCTGGTAGATCACCTGATCGCCGACCGGCATGTCATCATCTTCTCTCTCTCCCTACTTTTCTATCGCTCTTTAGCTGCTCTATCAAATAAAGGCAGTAAAAAGCCAAAAAAATAATATAAAAATAAAAATAAACCATTGGCCAATTGTTGCTTTTTTTAAATGACTCAATAATCTCTAAATAAATAAAAATAAATTAGAAATAAATTTCTAATCTCCTTGAATATGGGTCAATATGAAAATGTCATCTCACGACTATCCTGCCATTAATTAACAAAATATTATATAACTTACATGTTGTCTTGTGGCAATTTAAAATAAACCAGAAGATCAATATAGGACTGTATGTTAGGAATATTAACAATTATCCCAATAATGGAAATTCACCACAAGCAACTTATGGGAGTGTCTTCTACTGCGACCTGCGATAAAATCTTACACTGTCCCATCCTTAGTCTCGTACACAGGCCCTTAGATCTTTAGGAAGGAGACAGCTGGTGGAGCCTCGCGTCAGAACCAAATCATGGTGAAGCTGCTTTCAGCTATATATAATCTAAAGTAGAATCTCTGCTGTTCTCCTGTGCCTTTATATCCAACTTACAACTTATTATAGCACTTTAACTGCACTCTAACTTTATTTCTGGTCTATTATTTTATATTTTATTTATTTTTTATGCATGTTATTTCATTTTAATTTCTCTTCTTTTGTTTTTTTCTTTTTTCTGAACGCCTCTTTAACCCAATTATTGCCTGTGTTTGAAATTTGCTATATAAATAAAGCTGCCTTGTCTTGTGATAAGATGTATATAATATAATCGCATACATGTGTGTGATATCTCTCTCTCTCTCTATCTTCCTCGTCTATCATCACTATCAAATAAAGGCCAAATGCCAAAAATAATAATAATAAAAAAAAGCTGAATTTCTATAAAAATGAAGTTATACATTAAAAAGAAAAGTCAGGCTTGTTCTCAGGCAAATTCAGTGGGTGAAGTTAACAATCATAATAAACATCTAATGCTCTGGATCAGCCTGCATTTCGTAGTAAAACTGGGCTGGAAGGAAGTAAGACAAACTGCAGAGTGTCTGTTACTTCCCGCAAATCGGTGGCCCGGCCTGAGCCCATTTTAGAGTAGAGCAGGCTCGGCTGCTCGCTCAGATGGAGGAGCCGTCTCATTGCAGGCGACTGGCCACTGTAACACAGGGTATCAGGTCCTCGGCCGTACACCAGCGGCCAAGCAGAAATCAATGTCACTGGAGGATAACCAGAACATCTACCAATCAATTTCCTGTAAGTTGGAATTCGGTAGGAGGGTTAGGGGAGGAGTGGTTGCGGGGGGTGGAGGAGAACTAGAGCTACACGATGGTGCACATGACATGGTCGGTGACATGTCGAACGAGGAGGTTCAGGACTCGTGTGTTTCGGCTGCGCAGTTGGTGATGGATCGGGTGGTTTTCATTTGAGTCAGAGATGATAAAGGGCTCCCTTTCACTTCTGACCTTTCTGCCCCTCGGAAACACGAGCAAACTTTAGCGGAAAATTGAGGAAAAAGGAGGTTGGAAGGTTTATACTGCTTTAACTGTATTTTCCAATTAACCTATGTGGCTTTTAAAAAGTCAGCTTAAGTCAATTTTGTTTATATATCCTAGAAGCAATTTGTCTTTCAGAGGGCTTTATGATGTGACATCCTCTATCTTTAAACCTTCGATTCAAATCAAGAAAGGAGCGACAAGGCAGCGGATGCTCTTCCGATAAAACTGCACTTGCAGTAGTTGCCAGAATAAACCACAAAGAGATGCTGACTTACCTTTAAGAACAAAATTGATTTGATCCACCCATTCTCTGGCCTCCTGAGGACTGCTGGCAGTGAACTGGAGGGAAAGAGCGACAATAATGCTGCAATTATCATCACATCTAAAAAAAAAGGTGCATTTATACGGATAAAAAGTCCTGATTTTTAATCTTTGAGACATTCACCAACTCTCTTTCTAGCTGTCTAATCAGGAAGAAAAAGAGTTCCCTTTTGTAATGGCTATGATATTGTCAGATCTAAATCTTTCTCTAAAATATTTAATTAAGACATATAAATTCTTAGTGACTGGGAAACTGGTGTTAATGTACCATACAGACATGAGAATAAAATGTTTTCCAAATGGATTCAGATTAAAGCCCCCGATTGATACTGGATTTTTGAAGCCAATATAAATATTTGAGTAATCTGATGATTATTTTCTCAGTTAACTAAATCACTTGTTCTATAAAATGTCACAAAACAGGGAAGAAACATCTTGATCACAATTTCCTCCCAAGTTTACATCCTCAAATCTCTTGTTATAAAACCAGCAAATATTAACATTTGAAAGCAGTGAATTTTGTGCACTTTTGGTTAAATAATGTAAATTAAACAACGGACAGAATTGTTGCAGAATGCTGAATTATTATTTCAGATAAGCACATATCATCTGATGAGTATCGACTGGGCTGTAACTTAGATTGTAGATATTTCCTCTACAGAAGAAGGACTGGTTTTTATGTAGGGACACTCCCACAGCCTCAAAAAGACTGAAAACACCATTACCAGAATAATATCTATCAAACTATAATAGTTATTTGAATTCCCTGGTACGTGTCGTGGTAACACCGACCTGGAAAGACCGCCGTCCGGGGGCGAAGAGCTCAAAACAGGCATTTTTTTTGGAGTCTTTTCTCAGGTTGGGCACCAGCTGCACGTTGTAGTCATTGATATAAAAGGAACCCTTCTGCTGTTTATCTGTATGGAGGAGAACACACGGTACGCTGTTATCTGATTCAATTTATGAACCTGTAATATTTCTGTATGCTGGCATTTCAAACAAACCTTTTTCACTCCCAAAGTAGTAGAATATCATATTGTTCAGAACACACCATCTCTTTTGCCACTCGGAGCCGAAGAAGCTGTGATCTGGAGAAATAAAGGAACCCTGAATTAAAATATATCAAATGGAGAATTACTCATATGAACAACATTTGTTCATATATATATATATATATATCTTTGAATTTATTCTTTCTCGTATCTACATGCTGCTATACCTCTCCGTTTCTTCTCCAAGTAGCCTTGCTTCAGGATGTTGTTGAGGCCCTGGGCTGCCACAAGGGGGATGTCATCAAAGACTGTGAACAGAAGCAGTTCATTTGTTTCTCACACTCATCATCATCATCACAATTTCCCAGAGCCCAAGGTGACTTCTTCTAATGTGTTGTTTTGTCCGACCAACAGTTCAAACCCCAAAGATATTCAATTTATAATGATATAAACAAGAGACGAGCAGCAAAATCCTCACATTTGAAAAGCTAGAACCAGTATGAAAGTATGGCGTTTTTCATGATAAATGAGTTAAAGCAATTCATTTGTTTTTGAAATAGGTTCTGTGAATCAATTGACTGATTGTTTCGGCGCTAACGCCTAATAAGCTGCACTTAAAACGGCCTTCATTCCCAAGGCAACACATGCACACACACACACACACACACACACACACAAACACCATGAATATAAAGTCTCCAACCCTGTGGATCAAATACATCCCTGCTAGGCTTTAGGAAACCAGGATCAATACATTTACAGTGCTGCTGAGCACTGCAGTCCATTCATCAGCTCACATTGCACTTTTAATGGGCGTAACCTTCCTGTGGAAATTCAAACAACTCTCTTCAATTTGCAAAGTCAAATTTTAAACATGATAGGACAATGGCACGACTTAAGAGGCTTTAATTAATTAGTGCAGTTGTTAGAAAAGCACTGCACAATGCAGTTTACACAGTATTTAGCCTACTGTGCCATTTGTGCTAGAGAGAAGAAGCTTAAAAGACATTTGTTTTGTTGCACTCTTCACATAATGACAGATACTTTTTGATATTAATACTGGAAATTTGCCCAAAAATACACATATTGTGTGTAAAAACTGTATTTTCTGCACAAAATTAGCTTGTGTGTGTGTCGGCTTAGATCTGAATATTGGTTTAGCCAAATTCTGTTAACCCCTCCTGAAACCTCCAAGGTCTATTACATATATCAGCTGCTGCAGTAAGTATGAGCAGCAGTAGACTGGCTGACTGTAGCAGCAGGTTTTGCCTCTCGCACATGGCCATTACCATTTATTCTTCTTATTCTTCTTCTGTGGCAGTGAACACAACACATGATCCCAAGATACTTGTGCTAAATTCAGAGCTAAACAACATACAGTATTTAGGGCGTAGAACAGTAACGTCAGGGGAAACAAACAGCAGAGCTACGTCTGACACTCCCCCACTTACACACCGGCAAGTTTCTCATAGCAGAGCAACTAGCCGAGCTACAACACAGCTAAGCACGTCTCTCAAATGGACATACATTTCCCTCTGCTCTGTTTTTGATGATGTAGTTACCCTTTAAAAATTACTTTCTTTGGGTTTTTCCGCTATATGGGATTTCTGGAATCTAACCGTAAACGTGAACCAGTTATACGGTGTGCAACTAAACCACCAAGATGCCTCGAGAGAAGCGGTTCGAAGCAGCTGGTCCATGTTTAAGTTGATCCTGAAGTTCTAGCAAGAAATTTGAATATTTGACATTTTTTTCTATCCTTTAGCCATTAGCGGGGAACTTGTAAAGTCGACCCCAGGTTGGCCTCAAGGGTCGACTTCCGCCCTGGCTTTTCCATGTGTCAAAAACAGAGCTCGGCTTCCTCCGAATTCATTAGTCAACAGGCATTAGCCTCGCAGGGGAAAAAGCAAAGGGAGAGCAGGAACCGCCTTTTTAGTCTGAGACATAGGAACAATTTAAAGACCATTTACACTAGTCAGTGTGACACCCCATTCAGACCGCGGATGACAAGGGGAATGCCTGGAGTCCATCCCTCTAAGAACGGACCTGTTTAACTGCTGGGGAAAACCAAACATGTCATCCCACAACTGAGTCCTCTGGTTTAAACAAAGAGCGTCCCCCAACATTAAACAAACAGGAACCTCTTTCTTGTTCATAAAAAAAAAACAGAAAAAAGGTTCCCAGCTGAACGCCCACTCCAACTCTCTTACAGTTGTTGTTTCCAGTCTATTGTTAGTGACCTCTTTCTGAATAACTCTGATCTACAGACCAAAACAAAAGCTGATACTGGCTTTTTTTGCACATTCCACAGATTTAAGTTCACAACAATCCAGCCAAACGGCACCGTTTCAGCTCGTGGGCCTGACAGATGAGCGGGTCATTGAAGAGCAGAGCCCCAGACACCTCACTGCGCTAACACGCTCACATATCATCAGCCTGCCTTTGTGGATGGACTGACCGGTGACACTATAAATACAGAGGTGCTAAGGACTGTTTCGTCAAAGAGAACCTGATTCAGTACATCATAACAAACAGTGGTCATTATGCTCCCCCACCTCATCTATCCGCCGGCAGTCCGTCCATTTTTTTCCTGGGCCTGCTTCCCTGTTGCGGCCCACTTCTAATCCCCTCATCTGTCTGCTTCTCTCGCTCTTCATTTATCTCAAAGGTCGGGGCCGGCTAATAGATGAGGAGGTACAAAATCAACACGGGATCACTCTGATCTGCTTGAGTCAATAAACATTACACATTCATGCGTGTTTAACACTTTAACGCCGGGTGACCTGACCTCACTTGACTGTCCACCTTTGTATGAATCTCAAAACACGTGGTGCAACTGAGTGGGTGCAAACACAAACCGTAGTGAAAATGGAAACACGTACACAATAGTTCTGGACTCTTCCACAGGGTAGCAGCACAACCTAAATGCACCACACAGCTTAATGCTACTTAATCCCACCCTAAACAAAAGCAGAACCTGATTGGTCCTCAGTTAACAATGCCTCCTTTAATGAGAATTACACACTAACACCTCTTTGGGACCCATGCAATTTTAAGTGGATATTCAGAGGTAATGTTATTTGAAAACGTGTAATTTAGGGCGTTAAAAAACCCCAACAACCATCATGGTGTTTGAGTTTGGAGCTTGACTACAGGCACAGAGAGACACATTAATGCATCTAATTAAGGCCTCATCAAAATCGCAGACAGACGGCACTCTTTCATAAAAATCATAAATTGCGTTATCAATTATTCAGGGCAATGCCACGACTTCATTTTCATCCCTTTTGCGTTTTAATTAGCACCATCCACAGCTTTGGTATTGACATTAATTTGATGGCAATTTATTGATATTTCAGCATAACTTATTTAGCTGAGTGCAATTACCAACAAAGAGAAGCAGATAGATGTGATGTTAGAGTCTCATCAGGTGTTTTGTAAATCAAGGTGAGGAGCTGTTACGGGCCTCGCTAACTGAATCTAACGGCTCTCAGTGGTCATCAGCTAGAAAAGATATGAGTCACCCCATTTCCAAATGGAAGGAAATAATCAATAGGAATTGACCAGAGATATGTGTTTAATTGATCCTGACAAAGGAACATTTCCATAAGCATGCTGACCTGTGTGCTGATAAGTGCTCCGTTCTGTTGCCTTCCTGAACTTGTTTTAAACTCGGGGGGGGGATACACAACAATGCATCTGAACTGCCAGCGGTTTGCCACAGCCGCAATCTCTCATTTGGTTATTCACACTCTCTCAGCATGGTGTTATGAGCTCAGCAGTTGATCCCGCAAGAAAAGGCTGATTTATGTTAGCATGACCAGAGGGAGTTAATGTATTCTCTCATTAAAATCCACTTTACTTAGGCTGAAAGTCAATCAAAGGCTGGATAGAGAGTGAATCAAAATGAAGGGAAATGGTTGGGTGGGAGGACTAATATGTTACATTAGATCTAACGGTGGTCATAATGCAACAAAGATGTTATGAAAATACAAAAACGCACTGAAGATGTTGATGGTGCTACAGAAGATGGAGAGTGAGCAGTCGCTTTAGCATCTTTTTTCTTTGAGGAGGCAGAGAGGAGCGACCGCACCGGCTGGGTTCAACCTCAGCAGAGGGAACGTGTACTTCCAGACGCAGGAACCACTCTTGTATCTTCAGCTATAGAGACATTTAAGTTAGCCAGTTACATGGAGAAAGACTGTGAGGTGATGGGGAGGAAAAGCCCTTTATCAGCATAAAAATCTGTCTTTCTTCTTTTGCTGTTCCATGCTGCTGAACTTCTAAAACTCAACCTAAAAATCAAGTATATTTATACTGTATATAGCGTAATATACTAATATACGTAATGTCTTACAGTATTTATGATGTTTGACACACAAAAAGTGTTTTAAAATAACGTGTAGGATGGGAGAAATGTTTAGAAAGACTGGAAATCAAAGAATTAACTTTGCTCATCAATGTCTATCAAGTGTATTTGAAGTCTGCATGTCTCTGATGTCTAATATCGGTTGTCTTATGTGGCTGCTCTATTTTGTTTTTAGTTAGTAGGTTTTACTGTGTATCGCTGTATGTGTCTGTTCTGTAACAGCTTTCATTGGGTTTCTTTTCATTTATGTCGTATTTTTCTATATGTGCGTTGATGCTTTTCTGTCTGCTGTACGGCCGCGACTAACAACATTTTTATTATTGTTTGATTCATTGTTCGGTCTATGAAATGTCATGAAATTGTAAAAAATGGGTTGACGTCTTCAAATGGCTTGATTTTTTTTTCAAAACCAAGGATATATAAATTTACAGACATAATAAACTAAGAAATCTAGCAAATACTTACATTTCAGAAGCTGGAACTAGTTTATTTTTTTGAATATTTGCACTAAAAAACAATAAATAAAGTGGTTGCTTATTCTTTGTTCTCTATGGATCAATTCATTAACATATAATTTCTGCTTTTTGTTGTGCTTGTTTGATTGTTTCTTTTAATTCTCAACATCAACCTGCCCAAGGACTGACAATGGAAATGATCCGTTAAATCTGGGAACATCACCCTGATGTTATTATTGATAGTGTGTGCGGTCCCTCATAGCTAAATAAATAAACTAAAGAGGTACTGAGAAAACTACAACATACAGCCAGCTAAATGCGTCCGTTAACACTGGCCACTTTATGGGATTTATACATCTACTGCATGTAGGAGCGTGTAAGAGAGGTGACCCCTTTAATAGGACAGGTAGGAATCAAAATCAGCAAGTTATCATATGTTTTCTTTCTCCTGTGCTTAGTCCTTGAGCACGGGGGGGCTCTCACA